TATCGCCAAATTCTTGCCAATACACAGCCCTAATGTTTACAGCATTTATTTGCATTCTAATCCTATAAAATTGATTGGTTCAATAAAGTAACTCTTGTGAAAAAAGGCAACATTTTAAATCAAACTTTTTCTACTTAATCCCCTTTATTCACAATGTTTTGGACAGCAGAGACAAAAAAACAAACAAACAAACAATAGCTTCTGTTGATTAGAGCAAGGCGAGGAATGAGGAAATGCAAATAGTGTGGGAGAACTCTCATAACAGTAAAAAGCAGCAAAACAAGAAAGCGAAAAATGTCCAGGGACTTCCTTCCTTGGGCAAGCTTCAATGCCAAACCTTGTCTCTGTTCCAAATACTGGCAGAGGGATGTTTTCCTTCACTCCTAATTGAGCAATGAAATGTGGCCGTGCAGCAATTACTTTCCTTCAAATTACATCCTTAAAATTTTCTCTAGCTTAAACGCAGTGACCCATCCATTTGTAAAAGGTCAGCAACAAATTTGCTTAATTGCATGCAGACATACAAGTGCATGGATAAACACTAGTGTTTTATTTTATTTTACCCAAGCCTGCACTATTCTGCTTTCTTTTATAAATATTTCAATTTCAAGTCATTAAATAATAAATGAAAGGCCTAGGCTGATTCAAACTTGATTTAAAATCAGACACAAAGAAGCACTTAAGCACATCAAATAAACAGGTTAAATCCACAGTAACTAACTGGCAGTGTGAGACGTGCTCGTCAATCTTACAGCAGACGACAACATGGACTGACTAGGTCAAGGCCAAGTGTGTTGTGTTTCTATTCTGGGCACATGGATGACTTATTTAAACCACCCTGTCCCTCGTGACACCCACAACACTCTGAACGTCTGGCTGAGCAGACTCTCCTCCTTCTGTCCACATGTACAGTGCTGTTTTCAACGTGTCCGAGCAGCGCGTGAGCGCAGCCGTTTTGACGGCACGGTCTTTTGCGTACGGTGTTTTCCGTGAGCCTGTGCTTACAGTTGAGCTCCACCTGTTATTTGCTGCGCACTGCCCTCCGGCACTGAAGTAGGGACAGCCCTTCTCGTCAGTCAGCTGGAGTTGAGAGCGAGGAGCACTTGAAGGAAGAATTGCTGAGTGTAGCTTTTTCACCACTTTTCGCAGTTTGTACGGCAGGGCGATGTGTCGGGGCGAGGGCGCACGAAGCTTTGCAGACAAACAGTGCTAGCAAGATGCTCGCTGCTCTTGCACGATGTTATGCGTGGATGAGTGATTAATTCAACCCTGTGTGCCTGTGCATGTTGCTATGGTAACTCGGGGTGTAGGTTGGGTCGCCCCGTGGAGAACACTCGCGGCTTGCTCCAAGGCCAAAAGCCCTGCCTCTTGGGACTGCAGGCGCTGGCAGTGAACGCTGCGCCGGCTCAGAGCCAGGGCACACAGTCAGTTGGAGGACATCCGTCTCCACACTTGATTTTTGTGCATTTATGAGATTGTTTAAATTTAATGCATTTACGCCCTTAATACTACAGTTATTACATCTAAAGCACAAAAACACGAGGACTTATTGCAAACTGGGAAATTGTCCAGTCTGCCCCTACCACAAGCACCGACGGCTCTGGAGTGGTTCCAAGCCTCCCACTGGACTACGTCTGTTGCTTCAGCCTTAATGCCCTGCCTCGCATTAACATGGAGAGAGAAACCAATGTAATTAACTCTCAGTGAGCTTTTACAAAYATAATGAGGCAAAAAAAGTACAGAAAAATAAGTCATGAAGTGAGTGAATAGGGGAGATTTCAAATTGATGACAGCTGCAGGAAGGAAGGACGGCAGAATTATTGGTGAGAAATGAGCCTGTTTTTTTGTGGAGTTCCTCTGAATTAAATGTAGCCGCACGTGAATAATTCAAGCACAAGAGCTGGCCCAGTGGACATCTGGAATAGGATGATCCGCTCTACGGAGTAATTAGAGTGCTCTAATGCTCCATCATCTCATTAATATCCATAAATAACRGCATGCTATTTGATTCTGCATAATGTCCTCTGTGTCAAAAGGTGCATTTTGACAAGCTCTCACTGCTCTCCTCTGCTGCCTGCTGGGGCTCAATTTTGCCCCGCTCTGCTTCAAAAGTTACCATTACCGCTGGTTCATTTTAACTCCTTCACACGGTTCAGCTCCAAAGAGCTGATGATGCACAGCAACAGAAAACAAAACAAACAATACCATTTTTACCAGTGAATTGAAATAAGAGCTRACAATAAAAGAGATTTCCAATTTTTCAAATGAGAAAACTTTGAAGAGTTTGAACTCTCACAAAAGCCGCTCCTACAGGATTTTCGTGTATGGTTATATAAAGCAAAACCATGAATACACTTTTTACACTTGAATACACACAGAAAATTAGCCCATCAGAGGAACTGAATAAATGGTCTTTTCCATTTCATAAGAACAGGAAAGGGATGTTGATGTTAGAACTTTGAATGCTTCTACATGAGGCTTGACTAATCTGCACTGTTCTCCTCAACCCAGTGGTTCCATTGGTTTCTTCTATCCAACCATGCTCATACCATTATCTACAAACCACTTTACAACTTAGTGAAACATCCTTTTCTTTCCGGATTTAAGTTCAGAGACAAAAATACAGACAGTTAACGTTTTAATACATGAGCTGGACTAGAATCCTTCMGGACTGAATAACCACACCCATAGATTATTCACATCCTTTTGTTTTACTATAGCACTAACAAATCAGCATAAATAGCCTTACATTTAATGCAGTGAGTAAAGAGTGAAAACGTATTTCAGACAAGTTTTAAAACGCCTTTCATCCAAATTAGAGGTGTAAATCATAATACCATATTATACTGATGTGTCTGGATGACGATTAGCTCAGTTTAGCTTGTTTGTCAGACTAGCACTGAGCTAATACATATAGCGTCTGCGCTAGCACGAAGGCTAACAGGCTAAGCTGAGGTTCTTCTTCCATGAAGCAGCTCTGTTGTCCTC